TCTTTTTCAACTCTCCTTCCTCAACATCGGCCTTGCCCGTTTCTGGTTCCCTCTCCATGGCCCGTTGTTTGGCCTGCCGCTCATCCTCGGCCCGCAATTTGGCTGGGGGCAAAGCAGCTGCCCTCAGCCTTCAGCCAACTATAAAAGCCAGCCTACCACCCAGCAGCCCCACACTTGTGGCAATGCTGCTGGGGCATTCTACTTGAGTAGATGCTGGTTGGCTGGCTGTTGGTGTAATGAGGCGAAGTGTTGGAGGTCTGCAGTAGCACTTGGAGGAAGGAGGAGGCAGCCATAGCTAGAGGCTGGGAGCTTCTTGCCCCACCTTCTGTGCTGTGCTGCAGGCTGTGGGGAAGCCGTGGCCTTGAGGTTGCTGCTGGTTTTCTAGGGAGGTGCGGCAGAAGCGATGCCGAATTTTTGCGGCAGCAGCACCTGTTTTCTTGGCGGAACAGCGAAAGCGCTGCCGAAATTGTGCGGCGGCAGCGCTGGTATTCTTGGCGGTACAGCGGAAGCGCTGCCGAATTTTGGCAGCGGCAGCACCGATTTTCTTGGCGGTACGGCGAGGGTGCTGCTGGATTATGTAGCAACAGTATTTTGCACAGGACTGCGAGAAGGGGGGTAGGACGTTGCCGCAGGGATGGTACCGCCAAGGTGGAAGTGCACTTTGGAGTGGAAAGGGTGTGGCGATCGTCTCGTTGAAGGCGTTACAGCACGCGACACTTGTAAGAATTGTTGAGGCCGTTGTTATTTTTTTGCGGCATACCGAGTAAGCGGGGATTGGGTCCGGGAACACTAAGTATTGCGGCAGGCAGTTGGTGGCCTGACTTGGTATTTGGTGGGTTGAATCGGCGCTGTTTTGGTGGAAGGTGTGACGTTGAGGCTGTGGGATTTGAGAGTGGGGCACTCTCCTCAACGACAAGCTCGCTTCTGTGTTCGTGAGCGGCGCCTGAGTCGGCGGCGGCGTTTGAAGGAGGGTGTGACTCGTCCTTGTGAGCGGCCACAACGAGAGTGGTGCGACCAAATTTTTTGTGAAGATATTTGGCTTTCTTGAGCGAGCCCTCATAAAAATCACTCAAGGTCAGTGCGACTCAGTTCCTTTGCACACCCACGTGAACCCACACCTTACATGACCTTGCTTTGAATTCAGGGGAAAAGGTAGAGTAAGAGTGTGATGTCATGTGTGGGAAGAAAGGGCTGACTTAGTCTGGGGATGGATGAATCTCTGGATTGTTTTTTCGTGATTGTGTAGGTAGGATGGGAGATGCAGGTGAGAAGGAATCAGCATTGTTTGCTCGAGATAATAATGGGAATGCTTACCTCTCTCCCACTCAACCTGAATGTATGTGACAGAAAAGAGGAGAAACAAAAATAATAATGAAAGTGCGAACAGATGGGTGCCGAAAGAATGAAGGCCGTGGGAAAATTAAAAGAAAAGAAGACAAGGGAACACCTTAGTATCTTCCCAAGGATTTCCCCATTCTATCCCGAACGACCACTATCCTTCTATGCCCGTCCAAAATATCTTACTTCCTTCTCTTCTCGATTCGTCTAAGTCGACCCTTAGCCGGGAAGGCATAGAGTGGTCGTCGGCACCTAGGGTCTAGGCTTCTTCTCTCTAGGAGGCATCCGAGGCGGGGTTTCGTTGCCTTAGGGGCCGGCCCTGTTATCGACTCGGAGCGGACCGCTTATGCGGGGGGATACCATGCCGTTGCGGTGGAGCCATCCCAACTTCTGAGTCCTGAACGATGTGTTCGGGCGAGGGGGAGGGGTATTCCAAACCAGCTCCTAGAGGGAAGGGTGTCTTGAAGCTAGGGGCAGTCGCCTCCTCGTGCTTTCAGGGAAAGGGGCGGCTGAATCTGGTACCCGGCTGGGTGGCCGCTTTAGGAGCCACCAACGTGTGGGAGGGCTGGCGCCACAAGAAGCCCAGCCCGTGACTCAACTAGTGTTAAAGGGGGTGCAATTAAGCACTACTTTCGCGGTCGGATCGTGGCACAAGAATCACGGCAGAAAAGGGGGGGTGAGGAGTAGACACGAAAATGGGTATATCTGAATTTATTTTGACAAAGTTACCGCTTCGTCGTTCAGATGCTTGCGGAGACAGTGATCCTCCGATTGTTCAGCACACGCGAGGCGGTGGCTAATTGGTTAGCGGTGCTGACACGATCACGCGCCGGCATGATACGGAAAGGAAGGCTGGTGTAAGACCCACTTGAAGTTTACTCGGAAGGGGATGTGCCGCGATTCTGGGACGGAAGCGTTATGTTTTCTTGGTTGAGGCAGGCCAGCGTATTGTGCGATATGACTTTGCGCCTCCTAATCCATCACGAGATTATGGAGACATGAACCTAGTTGTGGTTCACGAGGACTGTCCGGAAGTAGAGAACATTCCTGAGGTTAGGGAGATGTTCCTCCATATTGTACTCCATTTGAACGATTTGCAAGGTCCGTTCGGCCTCCTTCATCACGTGAGACGAGTCCAAGCAAATAGATTTAATATCATTCGCTCGGAACGCTTCGACGTCACCGCGTTTTATGACAAGGCTTGTGAGATTTATGAGTGCCTCTTCTAACAGGTGGCTTCTTCGGTGTGCAGATGCCTAGCGGACGGTGAGACCTCACTCAGGCCAGATATCTACTGATTCGCGACACTACGGACCAGGAGCTGATCCGGAGAGCGGAGCGATTATTACTGGTTCGGGATGGAGCGCCCACACGCTGGATTGGTTTTATCGGCCTGCTCAGCGCTGGGCAGGGATTCTTTCCTAACTCGCGCGCGGATGTTCGCGCCAATGTGGCCCGACTTCCGGACGAAGTTCATGGATACATCTTGTACTTCCATCGCGCAAGCGACCTCCAATGCCTTTCTCGGGTCATTGTGAGCGTCAAAATTACCCTATCCGGGGAGCGCTACGGCGTCGTCCGGATTAAGGACACCACGACCATACACCTGTTTCGGATGCGTCAGCCGTTTCGCGCCATATTCTGGAAGCTCGCCTCACGGATGGCTTCTCTCTATGATACGCGGAAGGTTCGGGTCTCGCGGGGTGGACGCGTCTCCACCTTGACTTTTGATGACGAGGAGCTTATGCAACTCGACCGGATAGAGGCTGAGGCCCGTGAGGGCCGACGGGTTTATCCTGGCTGAGCGCACCCTCTCGAGTCAGGTGCAGTGGTAAGTTATTCTTTTGTAGGGCCACATCTACGTGACTCTACAAGGGTAATAATAACAAAAAAAACAACAATCTTGCGTAGGTAGGCCAACCAGATGGATAGTATCTGGATTACCTCGATGATGGCAGTATCATGCTTATGCATTGAGGGGTAATCGATCGCTGGAAAATGAGTCGAGCAAAATGAAAACCGATCACCTGAGAAGGTGTTGAGCAAAAGGGCGAGGGCGAAGTACCAAGAAATGAAACATCTCCATGCCAAGTATCTGATGTCGGGGATGGGTACTTCGTCATTCGTGGAACGGAGAGAGTAATTATTGCCTAGGAGGACATATCGACCGACAGAATTGTCAGTCGCTCCTCCGAGTAGATGTATGCGGTACGACAATATGGTCGAACCGGGAGTTCAAACATCGACCAGGGGCCAGATCACTTGTTGATTTGCATGGTACCCACGGTATTTACTTGTAAAGGTTGTGTGCGACGGATCCTCCGTCTTTTGACGGCAGTATAATTGTCTCTTCGCTAAAGTAGGCTGGAAATGATAACCTTGGCAGACCATCTCATCAAGTCGAAATGTTGTTTATGTACTTTATTCATTTTATGAGTAGGGGATTATAAAGGGACTAGGATTATATGTTGGGTTTCACGTTTGGTCGAAGTCGTCCTAGTCGACCGACGCTCGTTCGTACCGAGGAGATCAGCGCCCTCGGGGACGGACAACGTTCGGGTCCACTTGGCGTTAACCAAGCGTACCTATACTCCATCGAGCGAGAAAACGCCCTCGGCTGACCTACCTCTGCAATTGCATGTAAAAACTTTCGCACGTGGGTCGGTAGCTCGGTAGGGATACGCCCCTGAGGGTGGTGACAGCCCCTCAGGGAAAGTAAGTTGTGCCCCGCGAAAACCTATCCTGTCGTAGGGGACTGCGGGATGTATAGCTGGCGCACCCGGCTAGAGCGGCAAAGGGACAATGCAGCCGCGTCCGTCTCGGCGGTTCGCGGGGTTATTTATGCATCGTCCTAAGTTGTCTCTTGATTTTGTTTTGTTCTAACTCCTGCGTGACATAGCCGAGAGGGCCCTCATTCACGCGAGGGCCGATGCGCTCGACACCGTAACCCAGCAAAAAGGTAAAGGGACCGGTAGACGCCCTAGGGGATCCCGGTCGAAGAGTCAAACAGACCCCAATGCTCCTCCATGGGATGGGAAAAAGCAGGTCTATCTGAGGACGTGTGGAGAGATCGGTGGGCACGGCAAGCTTGTATCAAGTGTGGCCAATATGGTCATAGCATGTACAAGTGCCGCAATAGGAAGGTCACCGAGAAGATCCCGCCCACTATGGGGTCGGCGGTAGGATCCTCTCAACCCGTTGGTAGCAATATTGCTAGTTCTTCAGGCAGTGCTTCGGGAAACACGTCGGGCCAGTAGGGACAGTAGTTGTTCCTACTAGGGTCGCGATGGTGGATTCACCCTCACCTTCGCGAGAGATAGCCCAAGCTACAGACTCTTCAGTCGTCCCGCAAACACATTCAGACCCATCGACCCTCTGTTCGATGAATGTGTTTGAATCCTTAGAGGAGCTAGAGCAAGAGTGGTCTAGATCTGATCCACTAGCTTCTTGGACGGCGTTAGTTAAAGCCCCTAAGAGTGAAATGTTTGTCAGCGAGGTAGTCATAGGAGGCCGCAAGGCCGGGGCAAGTGCAGCGCCTGAGTCGACCTGTGGAGTCGACCTGTGCCAACAAACAGCGCATGGTAATTAATGACTACCTCCATGATGTAGAGTGTGTTTTCCCGTACGCGGGAGGGGACTTGAGACATCGTGTCTCGTTCCTGGTGAGTGACGAGCTCCCAATGGACATGTTACTAGGTATGTACTACCTCTCTGTAGCACAGCCCCAGTTTGACTGGGACCGAAAAGTGGTCAAACACACGTTGCCAGGTGGAGGGACCGCCAGATTACATAAGTTCAAAGCTAGTAGTCTGATTGAGTCCTATGGGTGCATGTGTGCGGCCGCGTTCTATAATTATTATAAGCAAAATCAGGAGGAGGGTATGTACTTAGTCTATGTCTCTGCTGCAGGCGAGCCGGTGAAAATGCCGTCAGAGATAGAGGGAGTAATTGCTAAGTACTCTGATTTATTTGAAGAGCCGACAGGGGTTGTTGAGAGGGAGGTCGTCCACGCGATAGAGATTATCCCAGGGTCTAGTATTCCAAGGGGTAGGATCTATCGGATGTCTCCAGACGAGCTTGATGAGCTTCGCCGCCAACTCAAGGAACTCGTAGAGAAGGGCTGGATCCAGCCGAGTGTCTCTCCTTATGGGTCTCCAGTTTTATTCGTGCCTAAGAAGAAGGAGAGAACCCTTAGGATGTGCATTGACTATAGGGGCCTCAATACCATCACTGTCAAGAACAGAGAGCCCCTACCGCGCATCGACGATCTGCTAGATAGAGTGCAAGGGTGTCGGTACTTCAGCAAGATAGATCTGAAGTCCGGGTACCATCAGATTGCCATACGGCCCGAGGATCAACACAAAACCGCTTTTCAGACCAGGTACGGTCTGTACGAGTTTGTGGTGATGCCTTTTGGCCTTTGCAATGCTCCTGGCACCTTTCAGCACGCTATGAATCGGATATTCCATGACTACTTGGATAAGTTTGTCATCGTGTACCTCGATGACATACTTATTTTCAGTAAGACTGTCGAGGAACATGTGGCACATTTGGACAAAGTCCTCGGCCTCCTGCGACAGCATAAGTTCAAGATCAACGGGGAGAAGTGCGAGTTTGGCCGCACCCGTGTCTTGTACTTGGGTCATGAGATTTCCGCGGAGGGATTGAAGCCTAATGACGCGAAGGTGGCCAGCATTCGTGATTGGCCACATCCTCAGTCTGTGACTGAGATGAGATCTTTCTTAGGAATGACAGGCTACCATAGGACTTTCGTTAAGAACTACAGCATAGTGGCCGCTCCTTTGACTGATCTGACCCGCCTTGACACCCCTTGGGAGTGGACAGATAAGTGCGAGGCTGCTTTCAGACATCTGAAGCATGCACTGACGCACTATGAAGTTTTGAAACTTCCTGATCCTGACAAGCCGTTTATAGTTACAACGGATGCCAGCCAATATGGCATTGGCGCCATGCTTGCGCAGCAGGAGGGGCCAAAGTTGAGGCCAATAGAGTACATGTCCAAGAAAATGCCGTCTCAGAAGTTGGCTAAGTCCACTTATGAGAAGGAACTCTATGCGGTGTACAAGGCTCTCACCCATTGGAGACACTATCTCTTTGGGCGGTTTTTCATCCTCCGGACTGATCATCAGACCCTGAGATGGATGAGAACACAACCGGTACTCTCAGATGCTCTCAAGCGTTGGATCGAAGTCATTGAGCAATATGACTTTGACCCTCAGTATCTCAAAGGGGAATACAACAAGGTTGTTGATGCCTTGTCGCGCAGACCAGACTTCTCAGGTGCGGTGATTACTGAGTTCGATCTGACAGACGATGTTACTCATTCTTTGGTGGAAGCCTATCGTCAGGACCAGTTTATGTCTGAGATCACACGCAAACTTGAGGCGAAGGATAAGAAGACCTCCGCCGAGTTTAAGTTGGTCAATGGATTGTTGTTCCTAGAGAAGGCAGGGAATAAACACTTGTGTGTTCCAAACAGCGAGTCTTTGCGTAGTTTGTTTTTAGGTGAGTATCATGATGCCACCGGCCATTTTGGGTACAAGAAGACCGCAGCCAACTTGTTGCAGCGGTTCTGGTGGCCCACGATGATGAAAGATGCACAGCTGTACATGGAAACTTGTCAAGTATGCCAAAGAGACAAGCCCCGTACTCAGGCTCCTCTTGGGCTGCTCAAACCCCTTCCGATTCCGGAAAGGCCGGGTGAGAGTTTGTCCATGGACTTCATGGATACGCTGGTCACCAGCAAGAGTGGGATGCGACAAATCTTTGTCATCGTGGATAGGCTTAGTAAGTTTGCTAGATTAATAGCTATGCTAGAAACAGCGAAGACCGAGTACGTGATCAGGTTATTTAAAGAGAACTGGGTCAGGGACTTTGGACTGCCAAAGTCAATAGTCAGTGACAGGGACGTCAGGTTCACGAGTGAATTGTGGAAGGCCGCTGCAGCTGAACAAGGAACTCAACTGCAGATGACTTCTGGAAATCATCCAGAAGCTAATGGCCAGGCTGAACAAATGAACCGCGCTGTGCAACACCTGTTGAGGCACTACATCAAGCCCAATCAGGTAGACTGGGATGAAAAGCTTGCTCTAGTCGCCAGTCTATACAACAACGCTGTACACAGTCTACCGCGACGAGCCCTAACAGTCTACAACTGACATTCAAGCCTAGACTGCCCTTAGACTTCCTACTTCCAGACAACCAGCCAACTGCTACACCGGGCACTTTGGAGTTCGCCTATAGATATGAACAGAAGATGCAGGAGGTTGTAGAACACATGCAGAAGGCAGAGGCAGCAATGATAGAGTATGAGAATAGACACTGCCGCCCTTCTACATTTCAGGTTGGGGACAGAGTCTGGGTCAAGTCTTCAGAACTGGGACAGGAGTTCGGGATATCCCGCAAACTCATGCCTCAGTACTTTGGGCCTTGGGAAGTTCTAGACGTAGTAGGGACAGATCCTGATGGTCCGTCATATGTCATCCGTATCCCTGGTCATCTCCGAACTCACCCTGTCTTTCACGCCTCACGCCTCTAAGCTTGAGGGAACTGATCAGTTTCCCTCTCGTCCGTCAATGCTGCCCCCAACCATGGACGGAGAAGTCGACATCGATGATATCGTCGACCACAGGGAGATGGCCGTTCAGAACCCTCCAGGAAGGGGACGTCCTCCAAAGCCAAAACTGCAGTTTCGTGTCCACTTCAGACATCACACGGATCCGAAAGAGGACCGCTGGTTTACTCGGGAGGAATTGATGCAGACCGCTCCTCAAATCGTTGCCCGCTATGAGAAGGATGTATTGAAAGGAAAGCGCCAGATGGATCAAGATTGATCTTCCCAGAGGACTGACGAAGATATGGAGGAGGGAATGCGAGGCTACGCCCGCTTTGCCCCTACGGGACCCTATTTGCAGCAAGGTCGGCCGCCCTCAGTGAAGGCAGGCACGACAGGCCCTTTGGGCCTCGTTTTTCAGGGTACCCCGCATTGGGGGAAATTCAGGCAGTTGCGCAGCGCCAGTTGGTTGAGTGTGTGAATGTACGAAGTGCAGGCCCTGGGCTGGATTCAGGTACCAGGCCGAACACAGGCTGAAAGCAGTTGGGCGCAGGCAACCACTTCAGGCCCAAGGCCTGCTTTCCTCGTGACTGGGCCTCAGGCTACCGGGGCCTACTGGAAGCTTCCTGGACTGGACGCAGGCAGGCCACTTCGATATAGGGAAGGGCCTGCCTCTCATTTCGGCATTCGGGTGCTGGCTGCATGCTGCGTGAGCGCTGCTGCRCTATCCKCTSGCTGCCTGGCACTCACGCTCTCWCGGGCGAGTAGGAGGGAGCACRCAGCCATAGCCAAGCTGCRCTGCTGTATGCCAGGTGAAGCGCAGGGTGGTCCTTGGGTGCTAGTGACATCTGTGCGGTGTGGATCGGGGTTGTGAGCGTTACGAGAGACATWCCTSGTGCTGAAGCGTGCGACATTGGTCGCCATATGCTCGTACTTCGGGAACGCTGTTGATGTTATCATTCYGCTTCGTAGTATAGGCTAGATRGGATCTGCCACATGTAGTCTGGGCGCCGAGCGCCAATAGGATATCAACTCTGGTTCGTAGTTGATGATGATGGGACTACTTCAGCATTGTCAATTTTGAACTCTTGGTGTGTTCTTATTTRGTGTATCTCGTGATGCAAGTCTGCTGTGGTTCGAGGTCAATACTATCTGGGCTCATATGTATGAAGCTGTTTGATTGCTGAAGTTCGCTAATGCTCATCTTCATTGCACCAGGCGGAGTTGTTGAGAAAAAAAAAAGAAAAAAGATTCTTTGCTGTTCTGGAAACGCAAATCGAGATTTCAAAAAAAAAAAACATCCATTAAATTCAAGAAGTCAGTGGCGGCAGGTCGAGTGCCCAGAGAGGGACGTGTTCATGTTTGTCCTGCTCTCTCTCTCTCTCTCTCTCTCTCTCTCTCTCACACACACACACACACACACACACACACACACACACACACACACACACACACACACACACACACATGATTTTTTTGAGTGTATAGCGAATATGACAACACACAACATGGCCTTGCTAAGTTCTCCGTTCAGGCGGATCGATGCAGCTAGGGTCGGGACCGTACTAGCGGTCATGTCATTGGGCGTCCATGGCTGAGTGGGTGTGTAGAGTGGGTTTTATGACTGTCAGTGTCAGATTAGTTTCTCAGACTTACTACCGTTCTTGTCAAGGGTTTGGATTGGCAGTCTGCTAGGATTGCAAGGTTGGTGTGAGTAATGTCGACCACTTTTCTCAGGGGTGTAGCTAAGGGCCTCGCCACACCAATGTCGAAAGTGGAGTTTTCAACATTTTTTCTTCGCCACACAGACTGTTGAAAGAAAAATGTCGAAAACACTTCCACATTTGTCAGAGAAGTGGTACAGACATATTTGTGGATCCGAAGGGACATTGTGAAGGATGTGCGGATTTCGACACCTGTCAGGGTCGGGGTACTGACGCTGCCTCAACATTCAGTTTCTTTTTCTTCTTCTTCTTCTCCTTCTTTTTATTTTTTTTTCCTGGGTGAAGGATGTGTGGAGTTCGACACCTGTCGGGGTACGGATGCTTCCTCAACATTTGGTTTCTTCTTCTTCTTCTTCTTCTTCTTCTTCTTCTTCTTCTTTTTTTGAAACAAGTGCGGTAGTAGCACACTTTCAAACTGTAAAGGCAAAAAAAACATTAATGGGCAACGGAAAAATGGCCGCAGTTCGAAAAGGCAGTCATAACATCAGAAGGCGGTAACATCAGGCCGCGAGTTTGAAAAGGGCCGTTGTAGCAC